CCCTTAAGCATCTTTAGTAATTCTGTGTGCCATTTGGCCCTCCTGTGCAACAATGCATTACATGGCATAACAACAAATTAAGTCAGCTCCTTCTGGTTTCTCTGGCTAGGTTAGGTTAGATTGAGACATGTACAGTACTGTATACTGTACTGATATTTTTTGAGAGTTGTAAGGTTAGGTTCCTGATGATATTTTTGTTAAGGAACAATTCATTTCCTCCACTATTTTTGGGATGTTCTTGATAAACTGAAGAAATTGATAGTTTCCTAACTCAGCTACAGTACTTAACCCAGGCACCTGTCCTTAAATAAAGTTTTCTGTAAAAGTTAGGTTAGGTTAGGTTAGGTTTGGTTTGGTTTCACCAACTTCGTGTATTTTACTCCACAGTTTCCCTCTATTTCAAATTCCTGCCCACTTTATGTGATCAATATGAAATTTCTTAAAAAAAAAATAATAAATAAAAAATTTAAATATAAATTTCTGACAAAATGCTTGAGTAAAGTATTAGTTTTATTTCTGTTTTTGCTCTATGTCCTTATATACAAGTGACTACAGTATAGAGTTACGTGCTTGGTCACACCCGAATATTTATTAAGACAAGGGCTAATATATGAGGTGTGGCTGCCATTAGTATAATAATTATTAGGGTGTTTTAGACACAGTTTTGTATGCTGCTTACTGTCTGATTTATTAATTTTCTTGTGTAAATGCTTAGTTTTCTAGATATAGGCAAGTTAAGAAGTAGGTTGTGAATTAAGAAGTAGGTTAGGCTAGGTTTTGGGTATTATTATAATTTTGGTCATGCAGCTTATATTAAGATTTTAAGTTTAAGTTAGGTTGAAATTATGTTTTTCCGATGGTTTTTGATGTGTTTTGAATGATTCTGACCTCCTTCCAAATAGGTGCACGACCGAAACAATAATTTTACTAGGTTTACTTAGTTGGGTTAGGTTAGCACATGATATCAGCAAAATTTACATTTACTTTTAATTTTATCCTCTTCACCACTGATCAGCTCAGTAGCCGCTTGGACGATCGGTCATGTCTCTGTTACACTCTGTTGGCAAGTACTGGGCATGCACTGGCTCCTGATTATATCTGAATCTGCTTCAGTTTTTGTCAAGTCTGGTCTTCAAAGAGCTCACACTCGGTGCCGTCACAACACTCTCTGGCAGATTGTTCCAAGAGTTCACAACTCTCACACCAAAAAAGTTAACGATCACAGTTTTCTGGGCTTGCGTCCGCCAGCTCGAGTTAAGGACACTCCACTGAGTAGTGCCCTTTGAAAAGTTTTTACACCTCAATTAGGTCCCACCTTGCCCATCTGTAGTATAAGCTAAACAATTTCAGGTGCTCTAATCTCTCAGGGTAGCTGAGGTGCCGAAGTGCAGGTACCAGTCTGGTGGCTCTTCTTTGGACATTTTCAATCAACTGACAGCCCCTAGTGTATCTCGGGGACCAGACAGGGTGGCAATACTCTGGACGGGGAAGTACCTCACTCTTGAAGATCGTTACGAGGGACGGACCGTTAGAAATCTCAACGACCTTCTTATAAGACCTAATAATTTAGTTGCCTAATTCACCTTCTTCTCGCAATGGGCTGAGAACTTCAGCTCGTTGTCAACATACACACCTAGGTCCTTTTCACATTGTCTCAATTAATGCAGTTTCTTCCTCCCGTTGGGACATATGATACTCCTCCTTAGGCCGCGTCTGCACTGAGAGCAGGTGGGAGTGGGCACGCGTTGTTGCCAGCTTGTGCCCGCTGCCAGTGCCGCCACGTCTATGAGTTGCGTTGCTGCAAAGTCTTCCGCACCCGCCCACCCATTAATCACCATACACTGCTTGTGATCACGTATAAAGTTTCCGATCCCCACTAGGACATTTCCCCGAATCCCGTACCCTTCCAGTTTAATTTTCAGCCTTTCATGGGGTACACTGTCGAAAGCCTTTACAAAATCTAGGTATATATTGTCGAAATTACCACCCTGTTCCAGAATTTGGGTCCAAACATCCAGTTCTTTAAGTAATTTGTTAAGAAGGAACGCTCCATCATAAAACTGTGTTGGCAATCCTTTACAAGGTTGTGTCGTAGTACATGTTCCATCATGGCATCTCCTATAATGCTCTCAAATACTTTACATACTATGCTGGTCAGGCTCACTGGTCTATAGTTATTCGTGGAGTGACGATCGCCCTTCTTGAAGATAAGACACACATAAGCCATTTTCCAATCACTGGGACCTTTTGCTCATCCAGGTATTTACAGAACATGATCTTCAGGGGTTCAGTAAGCTCATTGCACAACTCTCTTAGCTCATTCTACAGTATCCCCTAATAAATCAATGAAAATTGGGTACTTTTAAACCCATTTTCAATGAAAAACAGTGGAAGGTCATTATCCGAATAATTACCAAGACAAGAACCTGGTACGGGTCCGACTAATTACCCAAATGTAGCCGCAATGAAGTCAAATAATGGTCCTACATGAATAAATCGGACTGCCAATCACTTCTCGACTAGTATTTGGTGTCACAAAATAAAAAAAAATTGGAAAACTTAATTTAATCTGAGTTAATAGATAGCGTGCATGTACCGAGGGAGTGAGTAATTACCTAAATGTACCCAAATGTAGCCGCAATGAAGTCAAATGATGGTCCTACAAGAATAAATCGGACTGCCAATCACTTCTCGACTAGTATTTGGTGTCACGGTCACAAGAAATTGGTAAACTTAATTTAATCTGAGTTAACAGATCGAGTGCATGTACCTAACCTAACCTCGACTAGTATTTGGTGTCACAAAGACACAAAAAAATTGGTAAACTTAATTTAATCTGAGTTAATAGATCGAGTGCATGTACCTAACCAAACCTAACCTAACCCCACCTAACCAAACCTAACCTAACCTAACCTAACCTAACCAAACCTAACCTAACCTAACTCAGATTAAATTAAGTTTACCAATTTTTGGTGACTTTATGACACCAAATAATAATCGAGAAGTGATTCACAGCCCGATTTACGCTTGTAGGACCATCATTTGACCTCATTGCGACTACATTTGGGTACATTTGGGTTCATTTGGGTAATTACTCACTCCCTCGGTACAAGCACGCGATCTATTAACTCAGTTTAAATTAAGTTTTCCAATTTTTTGTGACTTTGTGACACTAAATACTAGTCAAGAAGTGGTTGGCAGTCCGATTTATTCATGTAGGACCATTATTTGACTTCATTGCGGCTACATTTGGGTACATTTGGGTAATTAGTCGGACCGCCTGGTACTGTATTATCAATTAAATACTTCATTTGACCTGCAATAGTTTCTTCCCTGCAGGAAACAAGCATATGATGGCTTTGTTGTCTATAATTGTCTGTATACTCACAGATGATCTTCTGGAAGAGGCTCACGCCTGTGACTCCAGCTCAATAGCCTCTTCTCTACTCAGACGGTGGCTGTGTGTGGCGGATAATTGTGCCCTAAAATTATATACTTGTTGTTGATTTTTCCAGTATTTATCTAATTTTGCTTCAAACTTTTCCACCGTCTCCACATTCACTACCCACTCAGGTAAACTATTCCAGTTGTTGACAACCCTACTCGTGAACGAGTGTCTTCTGAGATTTAGCCTCGCTCTTGTTTTGTAGATCTTCTTTGAGTTCCCCCGGGTATTGTCAGCCTCCCTCATCTGGAACGTTCCTGCTGTACATGCCTGGTCATAAATGCCACACACTATCTTGTATGTTTCCACTTGGTCCCCACGAGATCTTCTGTACGCCAGTGTCGGTAACTGTAATTTCCTTAGTCTTTCCTCATAAGATAAATCCTTGATTTGTGGTACGTACTAATTTTGTAGCCCTCCTCTGTACATTCTCTACTGCTTCAATATCCTTAATGAGATATGGGCACCAAATTTGATTAGCATACTCAAGGTGTGGCCTAACCAGAGCAGTACAGAGCCTTGAATATAGGTGCATCCAGATGAACAAAAGTTCTTCTAATAATGCCCACTATTTTATTAGCCTTGTTGATTTTCTCAGCTAGATGGTCAGAAAACGTCAGCTTATCATCGATGACTACCCCTATATCCTTCTCTACAGTGGTCTTCTTGATCGTGGTGTACATATGATATCCATGGTCAGCAACTTTTGTTCTTCCTATCCTCATGTATTTACTTTTTTCTGGGTGAAAGTTCAGCATCCACTTCTCAGTCCAACCCCTGATCCCATCCACGTCCTCCTGCAGCATGTCACAATCCTCATCTCGTTCTATTTTCCTAAAAATCTTTGTGTCATCCGCATATAGATATACCTCACTGTCGCGTTTAATTGCCTCAGGCAGGTCATTGATAAAAAGGACAAATAGCAGGGGGCCGAGGACAGAACCCTGAGGGACCCCACTAGTGACCTCTCTCCAGTCAGATACTTCTCCATTTACCACAACCCTCTGTTTTCTCTTAGTTAAAAAATTCCTTACCCAATCAAGATATTTTCCATCAATGCGATAACTAGATACTTTTTCTAATAGTCTTTTGTGGGGTACTCAATCAAAAGCCTTCATGAAGTCACAATACACTATGTCCACAGCCTGACTGTCATCGATAATTTCCGTCCACCAGTCTAGTACCCTAATCAACTGTAGGACTGTTGACCTGCCGGAAATGAAGCCAAACTGTTTATTACTAAACAATCCATATTTTTTCATATGGGATATCATCTGTATGTACATTAATACACTGTTCATATATTTAAATTCTATATATGGTACAGATATCCAGTATATTTAAACAGAATCAATATGAACTAAACTTACATGATACATCAGTAACTGTGGCGTCCTAACATCATCTTGTTTACCTTGTCACTATTTACCTTAATTAAGCCACATTTTAAAGTTATTTTCCTTCTTACTGTATCACCTGAGTACTATACATTACATAATTTAAGCTCGCTCGTGTGTACAGTATTATAGAGAACACTGTACTGTGATGTACATACCTATCTCAAATCCCGTGTGTCCGGCTAGGTTGTCATGGCAACTGAGTAAACAATAACAAAGACCATTCAACAAGTAAGATTTTCTTTATAAAGATTAATAAAATCATGATAAGGGTGATCATCATCATAGAATATGAAACAGTATATTTCTTTTTGTAATTTTTATATTCTCCTTGATTCCAAATATTATTATGAATTAAAGGAAATCTGTAGATAAACTTATGTGAAATATTTACACTTGGTTAGTTGCCTAATCACACTACGTACACTACTACAGTACATCAAGAAATATATAATACTGTACTACATGGTTTCTACGACGCTCGTCCAGGTAAAGTATCAGTTTGTCATGGGTCTTAAAATGTGGTGAATTAACACACACACACACACACACAGCTGGTAAACAAAATGGACAGGCGCGCCCCACAGTTTTAAACTACCTGAACCTTCAGATCTCCTTATTCTGAGTCTTTTGAACCCCATTTCTACCATATGCAAACGAAAATTACGATTAGGTTTTGTTAATGACCATACAGGGGGTCGAGGCTCCGCTAGAAAGGTTAACTTAGGTTAGGTGAGATTTTGTTAATGACCAAGTATGGGGGGGGGGGTCGGTTTCCGAATGAAATTAAGGTTAAATTCGATGAAATCATATAAAAAATCAATGGAAACAAATATTGTTCAGCTAATAGGAACTCGTGTCCGAAACTATAATTTTACCTACAAATTAATGAAAAGCTTGAAATATATATAAGGTTATTATTTACTTTTACTTTTATCCTCTTCGCCACTGGTCGGCTTGTTAGCCGCTTGGGCGATCAGTCACGTCTCTGATTACTTTTCCTTTTCATTTATCTTCTTCACCAAAAGATCGGCTCGCTAGCCGCTTGGGCGATCGGTCACGTCTCTGTTACGCACTGTTGGCAAGTACTGGGCATGCACCGGCTCCTGAATGTACCTGAACCCGCTCCAGTGTTGGTCAAGTCTTGTCTTGAAAGAGCTCACACTCGGTGCCGTCACAACACTCTCCGGTAGATTGTTCCAAGAGTTTACAACCTTCACTCCGAAAAAGTTTGCCCTCACGGTTTTCTGGACTTGCGGCTTCTTCAATCTTGAGCTGTGACCCTTTGTAGGGCGAGCGTCTGCCAGCTCCAAGTAAGGACACTCGACCGAGTAGTGCCCCTTGAGATGCTTATACTACTATTACTTTGCTGTCACTCGTAATCAAGTATGATGATCATCCAGCTATGATACAATGATATGAGTTATTCGGGATGTTACATTCATTGGTGAGTTTTGAGGTGACTAAAGTGGCCGATGCGGGACCGGCAGAGTTGTTCACAGATGTTGCATATGTGGAGGGTTACATCGAGTGTGGGAGGGGCAGTGGCAGCGTCTTTCCGGCGTTGGTGCTTGTTTGCCTCAGTTTGCAGTCGGGCTAACTCGAAAGTATTAACACCTTCTCGTGTGGTGTTCCTCCAAGCGTTACGATGTGGAGTAATCGTCTCCCAGGTGAAGGGGGTCGATTTGGCACTTTTTCAGGTTTGTCTTAAGACTATCCTTATACTTTTTCAGTTGCCCACCGGCGTTACGTTTACTATTCGTTAGGTGACTGTAAAGTAGCTCCTACAGTTGGCATTAGCAAGAATACTGGCATTTGTTCTCTTGTCTTCCCAGCGAACTCGGAGGATGGAACGTAGACTACGTTAGTGAAAGTTTTCAAGTGCTCTTGGTGCTTCCTGTATGTGACCCTACCAATCCAGTGTGACCCTACCAAACATCAGAGGATTCCCGGTCCCCGGTTTCTTCCTGTACTAACACTGGATAGACCGCCCAAACAGCTAGTAAGTGGCGAATATGCTATTATATATATATATATATATATATATATATATATATATATATATATATATATATATATATATATATATATATATATATATATATATATATATATATATATATATATATATATATATATATATATATATATATATATATATATATATATATATATATATTAGGGTGGTCCTTATTTTTCAACTTTGGAATTTTTTACCACAGACCCTGCTGAAAGTGTCCATTTAAGACAAAAACATTGTGTGTAGTTTTTTTAAATATATTAATATTTAGGGAGTGCTCAAAGCTGTCAAAAATTAAGTAATCGATGTAGTCTATTACTTTGTAGTCGATTACGCCCACCACTAGTGCGTCTTATTTGGCACGATTGTAGTGAGTTTTTGCTGGTCGTGATTGATGATTGGGGAAATTAGAAACAGTTCTGCAGAGTATTCTCATTATTAATTTATATTAATAGTTAATTTATTTATTCCTCAGGTCAAAATGGCTAATGCAGGAGTAAAAACACGAGAAAATGTGTATTTGATAAAGACATGTGATGACATTACAGGGACTAAGTTACCTTCAAACAGGCAAGTGTTACAGTATTTTTTAAGCCTGCATCACATACAGAAAAAACCCCATCAGAGTGGTGTTATATATATATGTATGTTTATATGCTGCCTTTATTGAATATATATATTATATATTATGTTACTTCTTACCAAAGTCAGAAAGTGTTTAGGCTTGTGTAAACACGAAATGTGCAGAGTTGCCAACTTAGCGACTTTGTAGCTAGATCTAGAGCTGTTTGTTTTTTTCTAGCGACATTTTAGAGCGATTTGCGACTTGTCGCAAATCTAGAGATATCCACAGAAATCTAGCGACTTTCTGGATACTTTTGGACTGTCCATGAAAACTCAGTTTTCCTAATTTCGAGCCATAATATATAGCAACGGGGTTACAGGGACAATAAATAATAAGAAAAGTTTAATACATTTGAACGGGTCGTGGTACAGAAGGAGGAACACGTCTATTTCCTGATCACTTGATGTCAGCCCGTCCATGGCTAATGTTGCCGTGTCGTCATTTATTTGTCTATTACCTTCGCCTTTGTAGCACCTGGGTAACTTACCTCTTTGTCAGATATACAATATGAATTTCATTAATACGCTAAATTTTAAAGAATATTAACAAAACATCTTATAGAATTAATTCTATCAAGACTGCGTGGTTCCAAACTTCTCATACGCGTCCACCATGGGTGACCCATAGACTCCATACAGTTGCCCGGACACTGTTCACCCGCTTTGCCAAAAACCATCAAGGAAAGTTTCCGCTTGTTTGCATGCTGTTTATTAATTTGAACCCTTCATGGTCCCAATAGAAAATGGGTAAGCCACAGTATTCCAGCGATTTAGGAAGGAATGGCTCAGAGATGACAGATACAAAAATTGGCTTCTGGAGGTGCCAGGAGATAATAAAAAAGGATTTTGTAAATTTTGCAAGTGTACTTTGTCTGCTAAGTTGTGCGACATTGAAAAACACAAAAACACTAAAAAACACAAGAAAGCAGAATAGCCGTTTAGTGCAGAAAGACAAACAATTTTACCATTCAAGAAACTTGGTGAAGCAAAAAAAGTGGAGGGAACTCTGGCCATGTTTGTAGCTGAACATTGTTCTATTCGTGTGGTAGAACACTTAAGTGAAGTGTGTAAAGTATGTTTTAGTGACAGCAAGGCAGGCAGTGAACTCAAGTTAAAAAGATCAAAGTGTTCTGGGATAATATGCAATATTCTTGCGCCACATTTCACAGAAAATCTGAAAAATGATATTTTTACATAATGCATTTTATTTATACTCCGTCCATTATAGTCGGCATTATGAAAATATTATTTGCATCAAATTACTGAAGGGGGGGAATAATAGCTAGCGACTTTCCATGGAAGATTTAGCGACATTTAGCTACTTTTAGGTACCAGCCTAGCGACATTTGAAAATCCGAGTTGGCAACCCTGGAAATGTGTTAGGCACGTTGTAACCAAGAACAGAGAATAAGTGCCCCAGCCAGACCGACCTTGTGCTTGTTATTCTCCAATTAAATAATGCAAGATACTACACTGGCGACGAGGATGGGATTCACAAAGTGTTGGTGAAGTCCTTGAAGAGAGGATAGTGATCACTGAAGGGAAGGCTACTCTGAACCTGGAGAATTTAAGTGAAGAGAGCAACCATGGCTGGCGTCAGTGGATACATCAGACGATTAGGGTAGTATGATGCAGACAAGGAAGATTTCACATCATATTGTGAGAGAATGGACTTCTTCTTTCTGGCAAATGAATTAATGGACGACGGTGGTGATGCTCAGAAGAAGAAAGCCCTTCAAGAGAAAAGGAAAGCAATCTTTTTGACAGGTAGGAGCTAATGTTTATTCTACTCTGGTCAATCTGCTTACTCCAGACAAACCCAAGGATTCCTCACTGATTCAGATTACCAAGATTCTGAAGCAACATTTTGATCCAGCTCCACTTGAGATCGCTGAAAGTTACAGATTTGGCACCAGAGATAGAGGTAAAGATGAATCAGTAAGTAATTATATAGTAGCTTTGAAGAAGTTATCCATTCACTGTAACTTTGGACCGAGCTCTCAGAGACAGGTTTGTAATAGGCCTGAATTATGAAAAAATACAGAATAAGTTAATGAACACCACTAACTTAACTTTTGAAAGTGCATGTCAGATAGCTACAAGCATGGAATTGGCCGAGAAAAACACCAGAGAATTTGTTCCCAATGCTGGTAGTGAAACAGTTGGCAGTAGTGGTTCAGTGTGTAAAGTAACTGTAGCTAAAAGGAATAAGTATACCACAAAACAAGGAACAAATGCTGATTTTAAATGTAAGAGGTGCCGAGGGAAACATGAAAGCTTTCAGTGTAAGTTCAAGAAGTCAAAATGTTTCAATTGTCAACGTATTGGACATATTGCTCCTGCCTGTAGAAGTGATAAAGGTAGAGTATATGCCGTTGAAGGTGGAGAGAAGGAAATGAAAAACAGTATTCATGAGAGTGTTAGTAATTTTGGATCTGATAATGATGAGAGTGCCCATGTGTTTACTATTCACACCAGTCGTGAAGAGAAAGTTAAACATAGGTATAATGTGGATTTGTGTATTAATGACACCTGTAACCATGGAAATGGATACTGCAGCTGATT